ATGGAAGTGGAGTATTTGTTGTTGGTGGTTCTCCCATGATAGTTTGAGAATCCAAAGCTAGAATGAGCTAATCAGAACTGTTAAATATCAAGCCAGCAGTGATGCTGGATGTTTTCTATTACTACCCTGATTTTGACAGATACTAACTTTCTTCACTCATTGTAATGATTTAAAAGTGGAAAAAGTTGGTTGATAACAATGTGAAGCCAAATAACAAATAGAAACTTTTAAAAATATATTAACTTGTAATTATAAGCAAGTCTCACACTAGGTTTTGAGATTTTTTGGTGGTTTTAATGATTCTTTATATCCTCCAATTGTAATCCTGAACACAGTAGATAGTCACTGAAATAAATTACTTAACTATGTGGCATAAACAATCTATTTATTGAGGTTTTACTTAGGTTTCATACTCAAGAAGGAGCAAAGGGATTTAAGGAGCCTTACAGATCATCTTTTTGTTGTTTAAAAAGATTTGTGTACATTAACTTGATGTATGTGCAGGATATCAGGTAACACAGGTGAATATTAAACATTGGTGGAAATAAGCAATTACATTTATGTAATTAAAAATCTGCTATCAAGAATCCCAAAGCAGTCTGGTAGTGTCAGGGGCTGCGTAGTTCAAGGTCAGATTCTCTGCTGTGCAGACCTAGAAAAACAACCATATTGGTCAGCAACATAAGTAGGGATCAGGCTTTTAGGGCAAAACTTAATATTTACACATTTAGAGAGCAATAGAAACCAAGATATTAGTTGATTGGTGTTCAAATAGAAAAGTGTAGTTTTCTGATGGCCAGCATCAGTTGTTCAATATATTCCTTCTCTATATAGTCATCTGCATTTACTGAGCCCTTACAATCTTCCTGGCATGTATTAATTCAGTCATCTTTAAAGTATAGATCTGTTCCTATAAATATATATAGTATTTTTAAGTTTTTGAAGAGAATTAATTTCCATGCACTCACCTTTTGTAAATACTCTTTCCTAAAATGTGATCAGCCTGATGCCCCTGCAGTCAGGGTTTCTTGCCCATTTACCCTTCCAGAATCATTCTTTGACTATGTAAAGGAAATGTATCTCATTCTCATGACCCAATTACTTATTAAATGTACCCTGGTGATGGTTCAGGAGATTGGTTATCCACTTGTTGATGGATAAATACTGGCATACAACTTAAGAGATTTATAATGCCATAAACGCACTTAGACCATTTGAACCTCAGCCTTCTCATCTGTAAAGTAGGATTCACAGTAGTCATTGTGAAGCTCAAAGAAGGTGACATATAAAGCAGTCATTATAATGCCTGACCAAGTATTTGCATCAATTTATGGCAGTTGTTAATGTTATTTCTGTTGTTATCCTATGTTAATTGTTCTATAATGTTCTGTATTTCCAAACACATACTTTTTCTGCCTCTGGTATGGAAGATAAGGAATTGTGAAATAGCTAATTTGTCCTATCATGTTTTACTGTCCCTTTTAATACTTACTTTAGAAATGAAAATGTTAATTCACATCCCTAATTAGCAAGGATGACACTGAATATCTCAGATCTTTATTAAGCTAGCATAGTTAATGCAGAACATGAAAATGATAGGCATTTGTTCACTTGAGGACTAATGCCATCTTTGGTGCAATTTGGATCACTTATTTGATAGGAATTCTAAATAGAGCAGACTGCTTAGAATTTCATTTTGAATTTTACCTTGAGAATGTTCAGAAGTTTATTTAAATGATAGTTTGGCAGTTATCAAAAATATATAATATCTTCTGAAAGTGGTAATTGCTTGGGGCTACCCTGCAGGGATAACAGATACAAGATTGTGTATGGATTTGCAGAGAGCAAACCAGAGAGCTCTTGTGGAAAAATGGTCTGCAAAGGAAACCAAGGGCTTTTCTCCAAATGGAAAGTGCGGTTCTATTCCTATCAGCCCTCTCAACCCAGTTAATAGTTTTATGTTATAAACATTGTGGATAGATTTTTTTAAAGCTATACTTTGGTGTTTTTGTATTTCCTTCTTGTTTATACTTGACATTTGGTGAAGGAGATTTGTGAGTGGTTTATGAAGCTGAGTTTTAATTTCTTTTTTTTCTTGGGTATTGAAAAGCAACAAAACACTAATAACAGCCAATATTTATTGCATATCTGCATGTGATGTTAATTGTAGCTTTTTGTAGATATTATTCCTCAGGTTGTGGAGCTTCTCTTTTACTCCCAATTTCCTGAGAATTTCTTTTTTTTTTAATCAGGAATGGACATTGGAATTTGATAAATGTTTTTTTTCTCTATTTAGATGATAGTGCATTTAATATTATCATTTGATAAATACTTGAATGTTAATCCAATCTTGCATTTCTGGGATAAACTCCATTTAGTTATGATGCATAATTCTTTATGTAGATTACTGAGTTTCATTTACAAAAATTTTATTTAGAATTTTTGCATCTATATTTAGGAGGAATAATGGTCTGTAGTTTTCTATTCTTGGAATATCTTTGGTTTTGGTATTTTGGAAAGCATCCCCATGTCTTCAATTTTCTGGAAGAGATTATATAGAATTAGTATGATTTCTTCCTTAAATGTTTGATATAACATTTAAGGCCTGGAAATTTGTGTGTATGAAGATATTTAACTACAAATTCAAATTCATTTGGGTTATTGGTTTCTTCTGGGGTGAATTTTGGTAGTTTATGTCTTTCAAGGAATTGGTTCATTTCATTTACATTGTCAAATGTATAGGCATAAATAACTTTGTAATATTTTCTTTTCTCCTTTAGTAGAGTCTGAACTAACATTTACCCTCTCATTCCTGACCCTTGGCAATTTATGTCACTTTTTCATGATCAACATGGCTAAAAGTTTAATCATTTTATTAATTTTCTTATAGATCTAACATCAGCTTCATTGATTTTTCTCTATTGTTTTTCTTTTTTCTTTCATTGAATCCCAGTTTGCTCTTTTCTGGTTTTTTTTGTTTGTTTTTCTTCTGCATTTAACTCTTCCTTTTTTGGTTTTCAAGATAGAGACAAAAGTCATTGATTTAAAATATTTCCTCTTTTCATATGTAGGCAGTTAGTGCTAAAAAGTCTCTGTGTTCTACATTGTAGCATACCAAAGTTTTTAATATGTTGTGTTTTCATGTTCATTCAGTTCAAAACCCTTTCTTATTTCTCCTTTGATTTGTTCTTTGACACTGGAGGCTTTTTATAATTGTCCTGTTTAGATTTCAAATATTTGGTGATTTTAAAGATATATTTTGATCTCTAAGTCTATTATGTTCAGAGAACATACTTTATATGACTTGAAAAATTCATATAAAATTCTTGTAAAATTCATATAAAATTCATCTTTTAAAATTCTTGTATGGCCCAGAATGTGATGTATACTGGTAAATATTTTATGGGCACATGAAAGAAAATATGTATTCTGCTTTTATCCTGTAGATCTCAGTTAGGTCAGCTTGATGGATAGTGTGGTTCAGATGTTCTAAATATCGCGGATTTTCTGTCCACACATTCCATCAATTCCTGAGAGGGGTATAAAAATCAATTATAATTGTAGATTTGTCTTTCTCTTTGTATTTCTGTCAGTTTTCATGAAACTCATTTATGTGTATGAACATTTTAAATTATATCCTCTAGATGAATTGGCCCTTTTATCATTATGAAATGATCATCTTTCTCTCTGATAATGATCTTTGCTTTAAAATCTACATTTCAGATACTAATCTAGCCATGCTAGCTTTTCTTTTGACATGTGTGACAGTAAAACATATATATTTTATTTTGTTTTTTTTTTAATTAAAAAAAAAATGCCAGATTTCACTGTGTTGCCCAGGCTTATCTCAAACTCCTGGGCTCAATCGATCCTCCCACCTCAACCTCCCAAAGTGCTGGGATTATAGGCATGAGCTGCAGTGTCTGGCCATATATATATATATATATTTTTTTTTTAATCCTTTTAATTTTAACTATATTTGGCCTTATATTTAAAATATTTATAAGAAATTTAAACAAAATATAGACAGGTTTTTTTTTTTTAATTCAGTCGGCCATCTGCATGTTTTATTGTTGTATTTAGCATATAGACATTTAAATAGATTATTGGTATATATAAGCTTGAATCTTTTGCTGTTTTTTATTTGTCTTATCTGTACATTGTTCCCATTTTCATCTTTTTGCCTTCTTCTGAATTGATAGACAATTTTATATGATTTCATTTTACATCCCTTTGTGGTGTATTAGATACAACTTTTATGTATTAGATATAACTCTTATAATTTTAGTGGTTATTTTTAGGTTACTGTATATGTCTTAAATTCATCATAGCCTACCTTCAAGTAGTGTTAAACTGCTTCTAAAGGAACCTACAAATGTGTTTTTTCATTCCCTTTCACCTGGCTTTTATGTTGTTTTTGTCATACATTTTACCTATACATGTATTATAAGCCCTGTAAGAGTTTGCTATTTTTTATTTGTTATATTTAAGTACATTTAAATAATAAGAAAAGTATATATCATATGTACTCATGTAGTTACTATGTTATTTGTTTATAGATCCATATTTCTATCTGGTCTTTTTTTTTTTTCTGCCAGATTTTTTTTTTTTAACATTTCTTGTAGTGTGTTCTGCTGATGATTAATTTTGTAGATAATGAATTAAGTGATTTTCCAGTCATGCACATGGGATCCTGTTCTATTGTAGGCCCTGTGAGAATGCCGGATACTGTTTAATTCTTCTTGATGGCTTCTTTCCCTGTCTCTGATAGTCTTCTCACGTGCATGCACCAGTCAGTACTCTGCTCGGTGTGGAAGACCCTCCACACATCTCCAGAGCTTTCTCTCCATGCACCACTCTCTTCCCTGATACCCTGTTCTATGAACTCTAGATTAGCTCTATCCTTTAAACTCTGTGAGTCAGCCAGGTCATGTCTTCCTTCACCGTGGCTTGGAAATTCTGTTAAGACAGTAAGCTGGTATAGTAGAGGGATGCTAATATAGTTTAGATATTCGTCCCTGCCCAAATCTCATGTTGAAATGTCAATCCCAGTGTTGGAGTTGGGGCTGGTGGGAGGTGTTTGGATCATAGTGGTGGATCCCTTATGTATGGCTTGGGCCATCCCCTTGGTAATAAGTGAGCCTTTGCTCTGAGTTCACAGGAGATCTGGTTGTTTAAAAGTGTGTAGCACTACCCTCACCACTCCTGTATTCGCCGTGTGGCATGCCTACCCCCACTTCCCCTTCTGCCATAAGTGTAAACTTCCTGAGGCCTCCACAAAATATGAGCAGATGCTGGCACCAGCTTCCTGTAAAGACTACAGAACTGTGAGGCAATTAAACCTCTTTTCTTTGTAAGCTACCCAGTCTCAGGTATTTCTTTATAGCAATGCAGGAACAGCCCAATACAGATGCCATTACACAGTTCCAAAGACTAGGTGGCTTAGGCAGCAGAAATGTGTTTCCTCACAATTCTGGAGGCTGGAAATCTAAGATCAAGGTGTCAGCAGGCTGCTTTCTTCTAAGGTCCCCCTCTTGGCTTGCAGATGCCCACCTTCCTGCTGTGTCCTCAGATGGTTTTTCCGCCTTGCTCACATTTCTGGTTTCCTCTCTGTGTCCATATTTCCTCTTCTTATAAGGACACCAGTCATATTAGATTAGGGCTCACCCATATGATCTTATTTTACCTTAATTACCTCTTTAAAGGGCTTGTCTCCAAATACAGTCACTTTCTGAGGTATTAGAATTAGGGCTTCAGTTCATAACACTGGGGAAATCATGGAGCTTATTCTGATTTTTTTTTCCCAGAGACCACTGTCGTTTGTTGCCTGATTCCAGGGTGTTGAAAACCACTGCTTTATACGTTTAGTGTCTACCTGATTGATTGATTGACTTAGGCAAAAGAGCCTTTCCAGTCCCTGTTATACCCTCTGGGTCAGCAGCAGAAGTCTTGAGCCTGAGTTCCTGATCACTTCACTATACTTTTTCACATTTACTTTTCACAAACATGCAGAGATTTAGGGGTCTGCCTTCTGCTTGTCTTTTAGTCTGAATTCAGTGATCACTTCCACTAGGAAACGTTAGGACACTCTGACTTAGATCCTATTACTGTTGCTTCCATCGTGTCCTGTAACATCACAGACCCTATAGTTGATTATATTTGCTTACTTGGGTTTCATGCGAAATCATAATTTCTGTTAGTGCTAGGGCACAGCCCAGAAACTGTCACAGTGCCTGACATGTAGTAAGTACCCAAAATTTGTTAAGTGAAGAGATGTTGTATATCTACCTTCCATGCCCCCAAATCATGTATAGTTTAGACAATTACAAATTACTTAGGGTCCAAAATTTGAAAAATAGCTAAATGTGAAATATGGATCTTTTATGCCTTTTCATGAGTATAGACATTTAGATATACTTAAAGATACCTAAATTCTTCTCCTGTACTGTCTAAGTCAAGGCCACTCTTATTTGATGGTTCTGGTAGCAGCTACCCGACCCTGACTCCTTTCCCCTCTCCCATCTCTCCTTCCTCTCCTATTTTATTTTGTTATTATTATTATACATCTGAGGAACTAGAGAGGTTATTATTATATATCTGAGGAACTAGAACATCATAAAATAGTAACTTACTGCAGGATAAAAGCAAACCCAAGAATCGATTCATTACAGTGACTATGCTTCTTAGATTGTACTTGGCTTTCAGTATCTTCTAAAGCTTTTTAAAATTAAAAATATCCCTTAAAGTCTTGATAAACTTGATTATTCTAATGAGACCTACATTACTCCAAGCCTGGCCTTCAAAATATAGTACAAAATAAATATCCACTATTTCCCAGTAATTTATTGGGTAAATTTTACCAAGTATCTTTTTTATTTGACAATTAGGTCTTTCAGTGTTTTACTGTTCTTATGTGATTATACATCGTTTAGCTTTATTATTAGCTTCCTAGGTTCTTGGAGCCATTCTCAGAATTAAATCACAGTATGTAATCTTTATGAAAATCTGGTTTGACAATATACTTACCATATTCTAAATCTTCAGTTTGAAAAAATTGTGTGTGTATACACACACACACACTCACTTTTTGGAATGCAGCACACTTACAATTTTAGAGCTTTAAACATTTGAGTTTTTATAGTGTTTGAGAACTCTCTAGTCTGTTATTAGCATTGGTTGTCAGATATGGACACATTAAAGCTGTGAAAGGATTAGAAGCAAAAGCAATGACCTGGAAGTAGTTTAGCCAGGTAGACCAGCGTTAATCAGCCAGGTTTGGAGTGTGTCATATAGAAACATACATGTCTATGGCAATCTGTCCATATGTAATTTGTATTACATATGGATACAAAAAAATATGTAATTTATTTCCTAATTCATTATAGCTCAGGCTGAATATACATTAGAGTAGGTATGTTTTAGAAAAATCCTAAATGTGTGCAGACTATTATCTTATCTGTAGATAAACTTCATACAGATACTTGAGGATCATCCCCTGGCAAAACCAAATGGGCCACATTTATGTTTGTGTGTTCTCACTACCTTCACACCCTTAACAATCCTGTTTCATTTCCTGCGGCACATTAATAACGAGGCCTCTCCACCCCATCCCAACAGACAGTCATAACCGTTGCTAACTTTCTGAGCATTCACTTTATGCTAGGTATTCTGCTTAGAGATTTATACAGATTACATAAATTTAATGCTCACAGTTGTGGTAGTGGTAAGTACTATCATGAACCTAATTTATAGCTGCAGAAACTATAATAAAAGTTAATCAACTTTCTCAAACCCACATTTGATGTAATGGGATTCAAATCTGACTGATGTTTGTATCATCCTTCCTCTGACTAGGTGCCTAATGCCTGCTCCTCAGCTCCAGCAGGGTCTGTCTTTTTCTCTAGAACTTGGAGCTTTTATTTTTCTCTTGATATGGGATAATAGATTATTTCAGCAAACTAATTCTTGCTAATCTTTTTAACCTTTAATATGTTTTCTCCTTAGTTAGCAATAGCATCCCTCATAAAGAATTAAAATATATCAAAAATGACAAGGATTCTGACAAGCTGATGGGAGAGAAGAATAGGGAAGATTGCAATAGGAACAGATGTGTTCGAATTTATTAATCCTTTAACACTGAAGGTGAACTATTGCTGATTGCCTCATGGTGTGTTTCCATCATTCAGTGCCTTGCTACGTGGGAATCATTTCTTACATCACAGACCAACCTCCACTTGGAAGAAGCCTCTGAAGATAAACCTTAATCCCATTCAGGACTTCTGTTTGATCTTTGGGAGACAGCATTTATTAACCAAAGTTACTCTTTCTGGATCTGCCGTGTTCCTTATAAAGTGGATGCAAAATGTTTTGTACTATCTGGAAAACCAACAACTTGAAACCTCAGATATTCCAGGTCACTGAAATGAATTTGAAGACATATCTATCTGCATGGGTATATATCTATATGTATATAGATATATAAATACAGAGAGAGAGAGATTTTGCTTGGTTTTAATTATGTTCTTAAATTTGTATGCCAATAATTGCATATAGATTTTTTTCTTAGATATTTGACTGTGGAACACGACATTTTAAATATGTTGTAAGGACTGTTTTAATAAAAAGTTTAATATGAAGTGGCTGGCTGCAGTGTGTTCTTTTCCTCCCCTAGTAGCTCAAGCCTCTCCAACGTATTCCAAAATGAGTTCAGCATGTGTTAACAAGTATACTGTGCATTTATTTTTATTTCGTCATTGTTTCCTCTGAACTGCTCAGTTTAATATTAGGAATTCGAAGTAATATCCAAAAATTATTTGACATTATTAAAATTGATAACTGTTCAAAAATTGATTTGTTAAAAGTTATTTCCACAGTTAAAAAGTTTCCAAGATTTAAATTATTATTTGAGTTTTTAGAAATCCTTCTATGATTATATTCCCACTAGTAGATATATTTAGGCTTTTTAAAATTTTTGCGTATTCTTAACACATATCTAGCTTTTATTTTTTAAGATATAGTGTTTATCAAGTTTATTTTCCCATTCATTTATTGTCTGCCTCATGCAAGGCACAGTTGTAGGTGCTTATGTTCTGTGGTGATGAAAAATATAATTTCAGAGCTTATGTTCTAGTAACATTGATCATACAGATTTTTTCTATTAATTTTATAACTATAAAAAAACTAAATGTGTTGATTATTTAATTTTTGCTGATTTTTTGGAAATAGATACTTCTCAGAACTAAGTAAAAGTTGAGGTAATTGGTCATGCATGCTGTCTTACACATATGACTATATTTTGGGTATTAAGTGTCACAAAACTAGACATTTAAATTGTTTTAACTAAAACAAGGGATTCACTTAATATACACACAGCTGTAAATATAAAGCTAAACATTTTTCTTAAATATTGGTAAATACAGTTTTTAAACCATTTGTAATAAAAAGCTGGCTCCATTTTTTTACTTTTGGCTGCTAACAGCTTGTAAGTCTCACTCCTCTCTCTTCCTCTTCTGCCCACATCTTATGGGCAAGCTGCTTTGAAAGCCCAAGTGCTCCCTCCTTTGGCACTGACGGGAACAAAGTTCTAACCGTGCAAGCCCCTCCCTACATATGGAATCTACCCCCTAACCATCATAAAATCCTTAAGCTGGTCTCGTTTTCCAAATGTCTCAAACCATTTTTGAATCAGTCTGAGAGGCCAACCTGGCTCTCCCCCAAAAGCCTCCTGGTATAAGTGATAACCCTTTTCATAGCCTCTTGGTGTGTTTGTGTCATCATGAGTCTTGACATCCCAAACAAATTTTAGGTGGGAGTCCTTCCTGTTTATCAAAATTGCCCTAACAGTATTGTTTCGCAAGCTCTTTAAGCTTGTGAACTTCAGCTTCCCCATAGGGAGGTAATGGAGATAATAATCTTTAACTCACAGATTGTTAGATGATACAGTAAACTTAGAAACCCTGGCAGAGAAATGATAGTCAATCAGATCATTAAATGATTCAATGGGATAATGTGAAATGTGCTTTGTTTTTAAGTGTAATGCCTTTTTCCCCTCTTTAATGCACTGTATGCCTTTCCTCATTCCTCCCCTCCTTTTCCATCCACATGACTACTATCCCAAATACGTACCATGCATAGCCACACAGGTAACCCATGTTAACAAGCATGTACCCTTCCTTACACTTTTCCGTGCTCATAATATACTGTGCATATTTACACACAAGTGGTTTTTCTCATTAATCTAAAAATGCCATCATACTATACATGCTGTTTTGCCTCTTATTTCTTCACTTAACAATATAATCTGGAAAGCCTTTAAAGTCAAAAATAGCTCTGCTTTTTAAATGACTGCACAGTATATCATGAAATAAATCTACAGTAATTTATGCAGCCATGTTCTTTTTATTTATTTACTTTGCTTTCACTTTTTCATCTCTTCAAAAAGAATCTCCATCCCTTTTAACTGTCACTCCCTTAGCCCGCAACCCCTATCTCTCAAGGCCTAAGGAATCTTCTTTCTGTCTCTATATATTTGCCTATTCTGGATATTTCATATTAATAGAATCATGTGATCTTTTGTGACTGGTTTCCTACACTTAGGTTCATCAGTGTTGTAGTGTCAATACTGCATTATTTTTATGGCTAAAAATACTCCATTGTGTGGTTAGACCACATTTTGTTCATCTAATACATTTGCTTATCCTGTCACTGATGGGCATTTAGGTTGCTTCCAACTTTGGCTATTATGAATAATGCTGCTATGAAAATTGATATACAGGAGTTTGGGTGGACGTATGTTTTCATTTCTCTTTGCCCTGAAAGTGGCATTGCTGGATTATATTATAACTCTGTTTAGCCATTTGAGGAGCTGCTGGATTGTTTTCCAAAGTGGCTGCACCATTTTACATTCCCTCCAGCAGTTGGATAAGGGTCCTAATTTCTCCACATCCTCACCAATATTTGTTACTGTTTGATTTTTTATTATAACTGCCCTAGTGGGTATGAAGTGGCATCTCATTGTTTTTGAGTTGTATTTCCCTGATGCATCTTTTCATTTGCTTATTGGCCATTTATATACAAATGTCTATTTACACATTTTCCCCACTTTTAAAATTGGGTTGTGTGTGTTTTTATTATTGAGTTGTAACAGTTCTTTATATATTTAATATACAAATCTCTTATGGAATTATGATTTTTCACTTTCTTGATTATGTCATTTAAAGCACAGAAGTTTTTCATTTTGATGAAGTCCAGAGTATCTATTTTTTCTTTTGTTACTCATGCTTTTGGTATCATATCTGAGA